TCTAACAAAACAGTACTGATCGCAAGTTTATAATCTATAAAAATAATAGGTTTTTATGCTTATATATTGAGATAAGTTTCAACAAATACTGACTCACCTACTGTTCTACCCCATCCACTGATTGTACATTTTTGACCAGTAAAACTTGATCCATATGGAGCCAGAGTAACAGTGCTGACAGCTGAACTTCCGGTATTGGCATTGGATGCAAGTCTCATAACAGAAATATCGTTAGGGTATCCATTAGCATTACCATTGTAGTTAGGGTGCTTGAAAATAAAGAAACCCCAAATGTTCAAAGTATTGCACATCACTGATATTAATTTAAAACCTGGACCTAGAAGCGCATCCATCGTGTTTGGAACATTCGGTTATAAGCGGAACCGCAATCAGCTCTTGTTGTTCGAAAACAAAAAATAAAAGGATTATCAAAACGCTGGAATATATAATTACGAATTGTTTCTTTTGTTAAATTGTTACTTTTGCCTATTACTTCTTTGGTTCGGGTTAAAAATAAAATCGTTTATTTCATTGGCTTTACTCATGGGTTGTAACTGACATGCGTGTATATCTGTCAGTTATATTTAAATTACTTACGTTTACAATAGAACTGATATAAATGACCTGTTCTGTACCATCATTGTTGTTTAATCTGTGGTCACCAAGAACAACTCGATATGACCCGGGACTGACAAAAATAAACAATAAGAGTCAGCATCATTGGTTATTTACGTTGTTAAAAAATAATAACAACAGGTCAAGTATTTGATATTTATATAATAGACATGATTGAGGTTTAATATCCGATCATTACAATAGATTAGGTATTTTGAGAGAAATAAATATAATGGTATTTTGTATGTCTATGGCTACGTGCAATATGAGAATTTTGACAGTTGAGCGTTTTTGAGGATTTTTAGATGCAGGCAAATCTGTACACCTAGGGTTAACGTTCCATCCGAATGACTAGATGATTTTATGGTTACGCGTGCTATGCGAGGAGGGAGAACTTTAACCGGACAACGTTGATTGGACCTATTATTCGTCGATTTTTAATTGTCTTTAATTGTACACCAATGTGTACATCTGAGGTTTACGTCCCATCCGAACAACTAGATACGCGTTTCTTGTCAGCCTGGCAGGTACCATCCCTGACAAGTGAATCCCGTCCACACCGGGATTCGAGCTAGGAAATTTTCTAGTCAGTGCCCTGATCTCTCGATTACCATGGCCGATTTTTATCAACAACTACCTGTAAAATCACGACAACCCGCATTAATGCAAAGGATCGGTTGCGATACCAAGATGGTGTAATTTAACACGCACACACGGCCCAATGCTGGAATAACAGGCTGAACATTTTGTTAACACATAGGTATATTTAACTGTTGAAAAACACAGAGGGAGCTGGAGATGGAGAAAATATGCGAGTTCAAAACCAACCGTGAAATTGCAGTGATGACAGACGTTTTATGATCTAAAACGTGTGCTAGAAAGCACACCCTGGGAAACAACAACGTAAATGTAGATGCCATACAGTATGCTATTATGATCATATTGCTACTGCCTACTCTAATATCAATTACCATTTGTCAGAGCACCCACAGCGACACGTCAATGGTATGCACGTGTGTTCGTGCCGTTAAATGAAGATGTAACAAGAAAAACAATTTAAAAGAAAAAGTTAAACCTGTTGGGAGAAACACAATGGGCAGCGGTTAAAACTCGGTTGCTGGAAATCAAACTTCCACCACAGATATGAGACCAGCTGCTTCCAGAACTTCTCTGAAGAGACGCTTGCCAAGGAAATTGTCCGGCATAAGCATTGGATCCTCCAACAATTTTTTGTGATACTTCACTGGCGACAAGGCCTGCAAAAATATAATTCCCCATTATATATGTTACTTTATCAGAATTTATCCAGGATTGCTCTGTAATCACTATATATACCGGATATATACCTTACGTGCAACACATGTATTCTGATTGGTGGATAGATTATGGAAGCTAGCAAAACTAATCACAATTTATTTTTACTAATTAATTTAAATTATTTCTAGTTATTCGCTATTTACAATACCCAATTTGTCAGAATAAAATTCATCTGTTTGTCATGTTCTTGAGGTCAGCTATTATTTAAAATATCAATACAGGGTAAACTTTCAAGGCCACCATCGGAATCCACCCCGGGAATGTTAAGAGTGGGGGACTTTTTACGTGCATTTCAGTTTTCCCTTTCAGACCCTGTGTTCTGCTAAACTAACAAGGGAAAAGGCTTGAAAATCGCAAGGAACTTAACCAGCCAACGTCAGGATCGATCGCACCATAGTCATCAAGCCTGTTATATTAAAACTTACGTTATATTGCAGTGCAATATGAAATTTACTTGGTTCTGATTGGTCAAATCATGACGTAAATGGTATGTATGGGATTTTGGCAACCAAGACAATGTTACAGCCACTTTCTGGGTCGTGGTGTTGAGCTGTTTTGCATACCGCTTAGCCAGCTGCCCCAATGGCGTGCTTGTGTGGTCTGTCATTTTCAAACTGATCCTTTTCATCCCAAACATTTGTCTGCGTTATCACCCTAGGTAATAGTACCCTTTAGTGCTGTCCTGTGAGAAAGCGAAGGTTAATCCCCTATAATCAATCGGACAATAATTCAAGCAGGGTTAAATGATCACAATCGAATCTGGGATGTTTATTTTGAGCTCAGTATCACGAGGTAGATTTTTTATATGACACCAGTAGTAAACTCAACCCACCTCGACTATGTATATGTCACCAGTAGTAACATGACGGAGTAGACAACTAAACTCAACCCATCTTGATAATGGATAAGTCACCAGTAGTAACACGACAGAGTAGACAACTAAACTCGACCCATCTCGACAATTTATATGACACCAGTAGTAACACGGCGGAGTAGACAACTAAACCCAACCCATCTCGACAATTTATATGAAACCAGTAGTAACACGACGGAGTGGGCAACTTAACTCACCCCCTCGCCAATTTATACTATACAGATTAAAACAACTTACCAGCTAAAGCAAAGATACACAACAGAAGTTTCATCTTGGATGGTTTTATCAGTCTGTATTCAGATGATGGCAATCCAGACAAAGAAACGGGCTGTATTTATATCCAAAACGTAAAACACGGTTGCCATAAAATGGTGCATAAGGAGCGGAAAAATAACAGATGTTTATTGTTTTTGACCGTCTTAATAGGTACTTGGGATAAGTTTAGGCGGACTCACGGAACTAGCGACGTGCTATTTCTATATGACCATAATCTGCAGTTCAATTATTACCGCTCAAATAACAAACTGTAAATTGTATCCCTTAAAATTCCATGGCTTTCGGAACATTGCCCTCATAGACAAAAGCAAGTTCATTCCTCTGACTAGAAAACAAGGGCAGAATTCTAACTTGTTAGCCCTGGGTCCAATTATAAAATACCTTATAAACTAGCTAAACAGCCAGTTTCCCAATATTATAACACGAAGGGTGGGTGTCACTTAAACACATTCAGTTACGTAATTTGTCGCGTATAAACAACATAATAAAGAGACATTAGAACGTGTTTCCAAATACTTAAATATGCAATGTGTAAGATTTTGATATAGAGCTGATAGTTCTCGCTATAATAGTTTTAAAAAATGATAATGAAAAGGGAAAATGTTGAAAATTTTAGTCGAATAACTTTATTCTGAGCGGAGTTATTGTCAATTGCAGAACATTGTAGTCACTATTGTCATTACTACCGTTATTACGACAATAAACAAAGTCTTGATTATCCATTTTTAAATTAAATCATTAGGTGCCAATCGTATTTAAATGTGTTGAAAAACTATGGCACCCTATGGAAACCAGGGTTGATTATGGTCTTGGCATGTTCATAAATGTTTAATTAATAATTTACAGGGCAAGTTTAGCCCTTAAATAATGCAGCTTTAAATAATGTATTTTTAAAATGCAGATTTCTCATTGGCCAAGAACTCAAATATCTGCTGCTATATTAAACCTCGCTCAATGAAAATTCTTAACGCTCGAATACTTTATTTTAGGGTCCTAACACAACAAACATATGGACATAATAAAAGTAATTTAATGGTTTGATTTTTGGTTGCAGGTGAATGTAAGAATAAAATTATGTCAAATAAATTTCAGTTATTTTCTGACTGAATGGGACAATGGCGCTTTAACATGTTTATTAATGTTTTAGCGATATTCGAGATTCTATCCAAATTATCGCCCTTATTGTTAAAATTGTTTGACGTTCTAGACGCGAACACCGTTAAGGTCGATCGTCTTTCTTGTAAATATTTTCCGGCGTGGTTTCCCCTTGTCAGTGATGCAGGACGGAGGGCCTAGCAAGGACAGCTGTCTAGTCGTTCGGAAGGGACGAAAAACCGAGGTCCCGTGTACATATTGGCGTGCACGTAAAAGATCCATTGACAGTTGGAATTCGATATAAGAGTAGGTCGTAGCGCCGCTGTCCGGGCAAAATTTCCCTCACAGCACACTGTATGGCGTATGCCCGTCTTCATTAGCCCAGTTTAGGAGCAGAACAGTAGGACGTTAAACCCCATTTCATTTCATTTCATTTCTTTCTTGTAAATCATTTTCAGTGAAGCCTGTATCATAATAACAGGACAATGGTTCAGTCACTTGATTTGATATTTGTTGTTTAGTTCTTGTAATGTCTATATAGTTTGTCTTGTCCGCATGTTTGTCTCGTCGGTTTTTTTTTGCGTGTAGTACGGTTCTCTTGTACTTACTATTTAGAAGTAGACTTAAAGAAAAAATGTATGTTACAAGATTTATTGACATAAGTGTCGACACAGATCATATATATTTCAAAGCACTACAGAATTATAAATTAATTCCAAGTATTTATTAAGACGGTCAAAATAATAAACATCTGTTAATTTTCCTCTCTTAAAAAACCGTATTTACGGTGACTTTTTGGTATAAATACATGTCTCATTGTCTGGATCGCCATCATCTGAATACAGGCTGATAAAATCAACCAAGATGAAACTTCTTTTGTGCTTCTTTGCTTTAGCTGGTAAGTTGTTTTAATCTCTACAGCATAAATTGTCGGGATTAGTTGTGTTCGAGTCTATATGCAACCCGTGTTAGATAAAAAAATTTACTCCGTGATATTGTGCTCGAATAAACGTGTTTCAATTAGAAGTTAAACACGCCCAGCGTGCACGTAAAAGATCCCTTGGCAGTTAGAATTCGATATAAGAGTAGGCCGTAGCGCCGCTGCCCAGGCAAAATTTCACTCATAGCACAGTGTATGACGTATGCTCGTCTTCATTAGCCCAAGTTAGGAGCAGAACAGTAGGACGTTAAACCCCATTTCATTTCATTTCATAAACACGCCCAGATTCGAATGTTGGGAGGGGGAGGGGTTATTGACCATTTAACCCTGCTTGAATCAGATTGACTTATAATAGATGTTAACGTCCGCTGTCTCACAGTGTGATATCACAGACTAATACTAGAGATTTCTCGATATGGCAGACACGTGTTTCGGATTAAACGGACCAGCACACCTCTATGGCCCCAGATAGTGGGGTACAAATGGCGCTGTCTTGGTGACAAGCCCCTACACGCCATTTACGTCATGATTTTCTCAATCACAACCAACGAGTCGAAACCTACAATTAGAGAATACAGAGTGCCACCAAACATAACAAAGCAGGAGAGAGAGAGAGAGAGAGAGAGAGAGAGAGAGAGAGAGGTGGGGTTTAACGTCCACTCGACACAAACTAGGTCATTTCGGGACTAACACGTGGTTCAATTCTTTTTCAATAATTCGCTTGCGCGTAGGGGTCTTTAGCAGTGCGAGGAACCGAAGGACCCAGAGAAAACCCACGAGACTGGACAGGCGACCCTACTCCTTGTCACGTACAACCGGGGAATCGAAACCACGTTAGTTGATACAACGCGCACGTGCTAACCATTCGGACATCCATCACCCCCCGCCCCTCCATAACAAACCAACATATAACCATTTTGTTTGTAAACAAAAACTTGTGAGGGGTTTGCGGTTGGAAGGCCAAGATTTCGCAGTGTACTGTATTTATAAATAACAGCTATCTTTAAAAGGCATATATCTGAATTCTTTCGAATCTTAAAATAAAGGAATAAATTAATGAGATATGTGAGCATATAAAGTGATCTACATTCAATTTTATCAATACACATAATCTGTTATACGATGTAATCAGCAGTCATATTTCGTTAGCCATCTTTGAAAAGATACACGTGTTCTTTTTTTGACAGCAGCAGAAGGTTTTAAGATAGTGTAACATCTATATTGAAGTAAGGTATAATGTTTACAAAAAGAACTGGCTAAATTTCGTGAAAATAAAATATATAATGTGAATTATATTTTTGCAGGCCTTGTCGCCAGTGAAGTATCACAAAAAATTGTTGGAGGATCCAATGCTTATGCCGGACAATTTCCTTGGCAAGCGTCTCTTCAGAGAAGTTCTGGAAGCAGCTGGTCTCATATCTGTGGTGGAAGTTTGATTTCCAGCAACCGAGTTTTAACCGCTGCCCATTGTGTTTCTCCCAACAGGTTTAACTCTTTCTTTTGAATTGTTTTTCTTGTTACATATTTTAACCACATGGGTGACTAACGAACACGCGTGAATACCATTGACAAATCATTGTGGGTGCTTTGACAGTTGGCGATTTCATTTACCTGGTTGGTCACACATTTTAGATCATAACGTCTGTCATCAATGCAGACTTGGACTCCAGGTTCCACTGTGTTTTTCAACACCTAAATACACGTACGGGTTAACAAAATCCCGCATTGGGTCATGTGCACGTTAATTCACATCATCTTCATGGTATCGTAATTGATCCTTTGTATAATGCAGTTTGTCGTGATCCTTTGTATAATGCAGTTTGTCGTGAACAAGGACAGCTGTCTAGTCGTTTGGATGGGACGAAAAACCGAGGTCCCGTGTACATTTTGGCGTGCACGTAAAAGATCCCTTGACAGTTGGATTTCGATATAAGAGTAGGTCGTAGCGCCGCTGCCCGGGCAAAATTTCCCTCACAGCACACTGTATGGCGTATGCCCGTCTTCATTAGCCCAGTTTAGGAGCAGAACAGTAGGACGTTAAACCCCATTTCATTTCATTTCATTTCAGTTTGTCGTGATTTTACAGGTAGTTGTTGATAAAATCGGCAGTGGTAGTCGAGAGATCAGGACACTGACTAGAATATCCACTAGTTCAAATCCCAGTGTGGACGGTTTCACTTAAACCCCAATCATGTCTATTACATAAATATAAAATACTTGACCTATTATTTAATAACGTATGTAACCAATGATGCTGACTCTGGTTGTTTATTTTTATCAGTCCCGGGTCATATCGAGTTGTTCTTGGTGACCACAGATTAAACAACAATGATGGTACAGAACAGGTCATTTATATCAGTTCTATTGTAAACGTAAGTAATAATTTACACAAAACTGACAGATATACACGCATTCCACGAATAAAGCCAATGAAATCAATAATGTTATTTTTAACCCAAACCAAAAAAGTAAAAAGCAAAAGTAACAATTTAACTGCACATTTTCCTTTACCCATTCGTAAGTATGGATTCCAGCGGTTTGATAATCTTCTCTTTTTTTTTCTTTTTATTTTCGAACATCAAGTGCTGATTGAGGTTCCGCTTATAATCGAGTGTTCCAACCACGATGGATGCGCTTCTAAATCCAGGTTTTAGATTAATATTAATGATGTGCAATGCTTTGAACATTTGGGATTTCTTTATTTTCAAGCATCCTAACTACAATGGTAATGCTAATGGATACCCTAACGACATTTCTGTTATGAGACTTGCATCCAATGCAAATACCGGAAGTTCAGCTGTCAGCACTGTTACTCTGGCCCCATATGGATCAAGTTTTACTGGTCAAAAATGTACAATCAGTGGATGGGGTAGAACAGTAGGTGAGTCAGTACTGTTTGAAACTTATCTCAATATATAAGCATAAAAACATATTATTTTTATAGATTATAAACTTACGACCAGTACTGTTTTGTTAGATTTATAATTGCACCCATTCCTATAACTTGTTATTCAGGTGGTGGTAGTCTACCAAACACCCTTCAATATGTATCTATGAATAAAATCTCTAACAGTGAATGTACCAGTAGATGGGGTAGCAGTATCAACAGTGGACATATCTGTGTTCATGAAACAGGAAAATCAGCCTGTAACGTAAGATATTTTATATTCTGTCGTCAGTATACTGTCCCCGCATTGATAACCATTGACGTTTGTACTTTGATTCGTTGTTAAATTCGACAATACTTGATCTCCATATCAATACAGTCATCACTGCAACCATATCATGTTGGTCCTTACTTCCCTGATCATTTTAATAGGATATTGTACAGATGATATAACTGTATGTTGGGAATATTAATGACGATTAGTATAATAGCCATTATCCTATAATTGAATACCAGAACGTTGACGTACTGTTTAATAACAAGCATATTAGTGGTAAAATTAGCTTTATATTTTAACTTCAGGGTTATAATAATGTAATACTTAACTCCAGGGTGACAATAATGTAATATTTTAACTATAGGATGACTGTGATAGTGGAATATATTTTAACTTCAGGGTAATGTAATTTTTTAACTATAAAGTGACGGTGATATTAGTCGAATGTGGTATTTAATTGCAGTGTAATAGTAATGTAATATTTTATTTTAACTGCAGGGTGACAGTGGTGGACCTATGATCTGTAATGGTTATTTGGCTGGAGTTACATCATGGGGAGCGTCTGGATGTCCAGGCACCTATCCTAGTGTGTATACCCGAGTATCACAATACCTTAGCTGGATTGCTTCTATTTAAGATAAATCTATAAGATGAGTTATTTTCCGCTGAAATAAATGATATCAATCGGAATTATGTTTTGTCAATTTATTCATGGAGAGTTAACCAAGCGCTACTTGTGTAATCTCGTACTGGAAGCTTTATTGGTCGTGGTCCGATCTAAATGGGGACTTACGTTGGTGTAAATGGGGTTGTACAATATAACCCACCTATTCCTTTTATTTGACTAGGGTAAAGAGATATATCCACAGAGACAAAATGCCGCAACACCCGAATTTTTATGCGCTGAAAAGAAATGTATTACGTAAATAAATGAATGCGAAAATGTCCTCCATACACACAAGTGACAACTGCACGTGCACTGCATAACGGACCTACGACGGAAAGCATGAACCCCGTACATCATGAAAAGCATGTTTGTTAAATCAGTCATTGCATTGAGGAAAGTTTTAAAACTATTCACTCTAGCTAGCTGTATTTCACAATGAGACCTCCAAAATTTGGCGAAAAGATGGCAAATTATTTGGACGTCAATTGGGTACCGCCCCGCTCCACCACCACTAGTCGATTGTTGATAAAAACATCAACAGACTTGTGTCATAAAGGACCGTCAATGTTCTGGCAAATCTCGCAGTACGTTTCCCAGAGAAGATGCAGCGTTTACGAGAGTCGTGCGACTTCCCCCGTCAGCGTCAAGCACTGTGTTGAAAAGGAGATAAGATAATTACCCCGCCGCCCCTATCCTACTGAGCTGTTGGCGATCGACTCGAATCGACTGGATATTGCGCTTCGAGACAGGAATCCCTGACCTGAATCCAGTTGAGCATGGAACATTCTTAGGCGTAAAATCCACCAGAAGGGTCCACCCGTGATGAATAGGGATGGAACAACCCATCACAGGCTCAGATCCAACGTCTCATTCAATCAATGAGAAGAGTTCAGCGGATGATTCAGATATTGCGTTTTTTTCACCGTTTTGAATTTGAACATGAAATGATATGAGCTGAAATGTACGATTTCGTATTGACCTGTACCAGCCATGGTTTTTTTTGGACTTTGTTTTACCCATGTTTCGCCCCTCTTTTTGAATTGGACGGTATCATATTAAACTCACTACTTAAACTTCAACCTTTGTCTATTTTTTCTGGTTCACTGTTCCGTTGAGGTAGTTCAGGACGATTGAATTCTCTCCAGAACGTAAAATAGAGAGAAAGAGAGAGAAATAGGGTTTAACGTCCACTCGACACAAACTAGGTCATTTCGGGACTAACACATGGTTCAATTTTATTTGAATAATTCGCTTGCGCGTAGGGGTCTTTAGCAGTGGGAGGAAACCGGAGGACCCGGAGAAAACCCACGAGGTTGGACAGGCGACCCTACTCCTTGTCACATACAACAGGGGAATTGATACAGCGCGCGCGTGCTAACCATTCAGCTATCCAGCCCCCCTAAAACGTAAAATAGCTAACGTATCTGATCATACACTATAAGCACTGTATTCTTGTCAATGATGCAGGAAGGAAGTTCTGACAAGAACAGCTGTCTAGTCATTCGGATGAGACGAAAAACCGAGGTCCCGTGTACACATTGGCGTGCACATAAAAGATCCCTTGACAGTTGAAATTCGATATTAGAGTAGGCCGTAGTGCCGCTGTCCGGGCAAAATTTCCCTCATAGCACAATGTATGGCGTATGCCCGTCTTCATAAGCCCAGTTCGGACAAAGCAGTAGGATGTTAAACTCAAAGATTTAAATACTCCAGATAGAGCCCAATGTAAAAACCTTAATTTAAAATACTATTTATACTTTCATTATGACATATAATCTTAATTTAATTCTATAACGGACCTGGCCTAGGGGCAACACAACTTTTTTAAAATGTTAACTCAACATAAGAATAGTTCAACTGTGTTAAAATTCAAAACTTTTCTAAATCATAATTTAGGCAACATAATGAAATAATGATAAAATAGTTACTTAAAGATACATTCAGCACATACATCTTATATACAATTCACCAAATGTATATTATATACAATTCACCACATACATCTTATATACAATTCACCATATACATCTTATATACAATTCACCACATACATCTTATATACAATTCACCAAGTGTATATTATATACAATTCACCACATACATCTTATATACAATTCACCACATGCATATTATATACAATTCACCAAATACATATACAATTCACCATTTCTAGTTATTTAAATATTTAGTTAGATTTTTGGATCACAACCATAATCGAATTGTTCTCCAGACCACCCATTTCTACATAAGTCAATGAAAAATGACACCAAACGCCATATTGAGAACTGAAGTTTATTCAGAAAACATTCGAGTAGTCCGAACACAAAGCATTGACAGAAATCGTCAATTACATACAGGGGCGGATTGGGGCCGCGAACCGGCCCGGGCTCCCGTGTCGGAGCGGCCCCTTTTACTGACCGCGGGTCCGGGGGCTCTCTCCCCTGGAAAATTTTGAAAAATGAACCCCAAATATGCGATTTGGTGGCATATCTGATTATAATCTCTGTCAAATAATATATCTCATAAATCGATTAATTTAGGCCAAAACCCGGACATACAAGTAATTTCCAACCATCAACCTGTGAAATTATCATATCGTCATATTATTAATTAACGTATTATCTTTTTATCGTCAAGAGAATTTAACTGGTTACAAAATGGGACTAATTGAGAAAATTTTGACCATTTGATTAACCAGTTAGGAATATTGAATAAGTAGGAATATTTTCATTGAAAAATGTCCCATTTTTGTTGCCGGGGGCGCTAATTGATTCCCCCTGTAATGGAAGGCCACAAGACACATTGGTACAGAGTGACGAAAGTGAAATTCATGAAAGCTGCTTTTTGAATTTTGGATTTGTTCGGATGAAATTCGGAATCCCCATTGCAGGATTCCGAATTCCGGCCCACACCCGGCACACCTGGCCCAGAAAGTCTATTCTACCAGCCCGTTAAAGCCACCGGCCACATACAACATTGCCGCTCCATCGCCGGTCCAATACCCCCCCCCCCCCCCCATATAATGTTTAGCAGAAAAAAAAAGTTTTTTTAGACGAATTGGACAAACTTATTTTTTTCCATTTTGTGTCCGACCGGCCCTTAGGGCGATCGCCCGATTGCCCGATGGCCCAATCCGCCCCTGATTACATATCAAGTAGTAACAGCTGTTAGTACGTTAGTATTGTTAACGATCGGGTAAGGTTAAACTGTGGGTAATAGCAAAAAAATTATTTAATGAGGCAACTTATTTAGTTTGCAAAAAACTAATCTTCAATTTAAGCTCCTAAACTACAAAGACATATATACATGTAATATCAAAATCATGTGAAATGCAATAGCACTCCTAAACAAAAAGAACATATACACGTAAAATGTAGGAAGAACACTATACAAGTGGATTACACACAATAAAAGGTTAATATAGACGCTGTGATAATGCACAAGGTTAACAAAATCCCCCAAGTAGTATAATAAATTTAACTGTTAACAAAATTTATGTTCTTGTTTATTTCGATTATACTTCTGCATATGGCAAGTTCACAGTCATATGCAATAACTGTGTATCAGGTGTTAATGAAACACATACCTATATAATATCCGATATCTTTGAGATACCTCTTAGACACGTTGCCCAAATATATTAGTTGCTAGTTTTCATAAGTATGTGTTATATAGTTTATTATATCAAATATAATGATCGGCCGACCTAATACCGCTTTTCATAAAGCTAACAGTTTAACCAGTTTTTATACACATAAACACGTGCAGTTTGTATTTTCCGCATTGAACTCCGTTACACTTGACATCACATAGTTAACACGGTTGGTTGTATGCCTAATTCTGTATTGAAAACAATATATATCAGCTTACGGGACCGGTAATGAAAACAGGCATACGTCATGCAGTGTGCTATGAGGGAAATTATCAAGATTTCTTTTATGTGCATGCCAATGTGTACACTAGACCTCGGTTTTCGTGCCTCTGGAAAAGCTATTCGCTGTCTCTTGCCAGATGGACACTAGTTTCATAATGTAAAGGTCCAGTCTGCCAGAAGGAAAATAGCATGCGATGCCAAATATTGCAATTCCGTAATGCAACTACTTTTTTTTAACTGAAAGGAGGTCTACCCCACCCCCTCGCCACCTCTGGTAGGCTGGCCTATTAAGTTAATATGAAGCTAAAATTTGTTTAATTCTATGCAAATTGAAGGGAGGGAGCGATATATATATGCAGGCATACATATATAAACCCAAGATATAATTGTTAACAATTTAACCGTTATTTATACTACATTTCAAAAGATGACGGCATAGATACAGCCAGTTGAAATATATATATATATATATATATATATATATATATAGGTTGTTTTTTTTTCAAATTAAATTAGCTATAGAACTACCCGTTAAATTACTCTTCGTATTGATATAATAAATGACTCTTATACCCGGTAGCATGTTTATACACATCACCCCGCCACCAATAGACAAAAATAACTAGCCTATGTAGCAGGCGTCATATATCCCGGCAGCATGTCTATGCGTGTTAGAAAAACATCTATGTGTATATATATATATATACATTGTGTATCTTTTACTTAGTTTTATCTATCTATAACAGTCTATAATGTTTAATTTACTTTCCATTATGTTTTTAATGTGTATGTACTGTGAAGCCTTTGTGATAGTCTTCTGTCCGGGTTTAGGAGATGATAAAGCCATAAAGGTTGTTAATATTAGTGATAAGAACACAGACACCGTTACTTTACATAACACGTTCGGGACTTTAGGAATGTATCAATCTTTGGTATGGAATCCACCCGATCAGAGACTGTATTACATCAACGATACTAGTATCGTGACCAGTTTTCTTCATGGAAAGGATTTACAAATTTTACCTAACTTAACGAATGTAATAGCATTTGATTTGGATGTTGAAAGACAATGGCTGTTCTACGCCGAGGCCTCTAATTCAGAACAACA